CAGAAACCAAGATGTGAGGTTTTGGGATGCCGATTCCCCGCGCAGGGATTCTCGATGAGGATCCCGATGTTTCCACGCAGCGCTTCCCCATCGTTCCCCCTGTTGTCTACCGATACGTCACGTGCGCGGCTAGCTCTCGCCCTGTACGAGTTCAGGTGCGGCGATTCTGTATCCTGACATTTCCTATCTCCCCTGAGTTCCGCATCCAGTGTTGAGCTGTCCTTTATCTCCGTGGGGTTGTTTTCCTTCAAGCACAATGTTGTTTCACTTTTCTCCTTCACCCCTCGGTCGTTCCGAAAATCCTCAAAAAACCCCAGGCTCGATGCGAACGTCCAGCTCACCGATCTCGTTCCACCTGGAGCTCCTCGATTCGAAACCTATTCTTCTCCCTGCCGACTCGGTCTCTCTCCCTCTCGCCATCACTCTCTCTCGTATTCGGAGCGGCATCCCCCGATATGTGTTCCTTTCGTAGCCACCGACCCACTCATACGGAGAAGGCGACGAACGTGTTTTGCTTCGGAGTATGAGAGGGGTGTAATCCTTGCAAGATCAAGCGGGTGATCAACCAAAAAAGAGCTACAGCATCAACAACAACAGCGATAAGAGTATCTTCGACATCGGGATTCAAACCATAGCTTGCGGGGGAAAACTCTGCTCCGACGCTGCGTCGAAAGAAGGAGGCGGAACGACGTAGGACGATTCCTCGCCAGCTCAGTAGAAGGATTCTTCATGAGAGGAACTGTTCAGTGAGACCAAAGTTCCATTCAAGCCCCAGCCTAAACGTCCGATCACTCGTAACCTCGGGTCGGAACTTCTGCAAAGCTTTCTTTCTGGGAGACCTATCGTAACATGCAATAAACAGATCGGCAGGTTGTGCTTGGGAATCAGCGAGGGGGATATCAAGCTCATTCGCAGAAATGAGGAGAATCGGTCGCGACCGAGGTGGGAAAATTGATGAATGATACATGTGGAGCTGACGCGGCGACGGGGAATGGAATTCTCTGTGCCTCTTTTTGCGCAACGTGAAGACGGGGTATGAGCTTTGGAAATCACTGCTCTTCGAAAAACGGGGAGAACTCGGGAGAATCTCGCTGCCTTCAGAGCCTCAATTCATAATAATTCCGGAGCGATGAATCATATCAAAGCCGTCATGAATACAAACATCCTCCATTCACTCCCGAAGCGCATGCCGACTGTCTTCCAGCGGATCTGTCGAAACAGTAATTTATTTCCCAGTCAGGAGACTGCGGGTTGGTAGATGTTGTCAGCTATCGGCTCTGCACAGTTTTCCCTCCCAATCTTTTCCACGATTCCTCGAGCGGGTGTTGAAGCGGAGACAAATCAGTTTCCGTCCGTCCTTCCCGCTGGCTGCTCTTCTCCTTCTTCCATTTTCCATCCTGACGTGAGAAATGAGCCGGTGCGACATAAAGGAGGAGCAAGAGCGCACGATCACGATATCAGAGTTATTCTTTCTATATGCATTCCAGGTCGCTTCGATATTCATCTCGGACACCTTCCGGGATCAGGAGGTGAACCGAAGGAATTATTCTTCGTTCATCCGTCGTCCCTATAGATAATAATTGACGCACCCTCCCGCAGGTTTGATTAAACTGCCGCGTTCGGCACGAAGGACGAGGCCGCCGCCGCCAATGATGATTACGATGATGAAGAAGCGGAGTGCGTGAGCTAGCAAGCAAGTGAGCGGGATAGCCACCCGGAGCGATGACGAGGGAGCGAAGAGGGCACAAATGAGAGGAGGAAAAGAGGAGATAAAGTGAGCGAGGACGCGTGCCACACTCGAGATGAAGATCAAAGACTTGAAGATGGGCCTCGTGGGAGCAACTGGGAAAATGTTTCCCGCTTCCCGGACACGTTCGGCCCGCCCGAGCCAGCCAACCAGTTCGCCTGCTTGCCCGCCCGCCCGCGGACACCTACCAAGAGAGAGTGCGTGAGGAAGCTCGAAACCGGTGGGAGAACTGATGAAGTTAGACCATCACGTTACACTGCTGCGTGGCTCCAGAAATGCCTCGTTCAAAACAATCTCGGTGTTTTGCTCCGATTGCGAAACTGGGATTGCGGAATTGCTTCGGATTGCCAAAGTCCTCTCACAACGAAATTCGAAATAGCATCAAAGCCGGAGAGAGGGAGCAGTAATCCGCCGGAGCAACTCCCGAAATTGAAGCACCATGCATTCACTCGTGTGAGGAGAGAACAAGACTTCAATATACCGCGCGAGGATTTTCCTCAAGGCTTCCTTTCTTTCCTGTGCAGAAAAACAGAACGAAACTGAATCGAGGCCCATCCACCCGGCTCTCCGTGGGCTGATGGATTGGGTCTGGAAGCGAGATCGAGATTTCTGAGCGATCTCAATAACAGTAGGTCGACTTTTGAATTCAGTAAACCTCCGATATCTCCTGGCAGTAGGACATTTCCCCGATGCAGCTGCTTGCAAAGGAGGAGTCCTGAAGGGCTGACCGGGATCTCGGGATGCATGACGGTTCCTGTGGCCGAATAGTATTTGCTGCTCTATCGATTGCCTCAGAGAGTCGAAGATTTTTCGCTATGTATCTGAATAAGTGGAATCATTCACGCCTATTGGGAGAATTTTCCCAATGAGTTCGCACGGTAGCCAACATCGGCATTAACGACGCGACGCCTAGACGGTCGAAACGACTGGAACCAAGGTGAAAAACGACACCGAGAGAGCGGACGGAGGACGTCACTTCGTTAAACGCGAGTCTGTTCGTCCGGGCATCTATCTGTCTGACTGAGTTTGTGTTTGCAACGAGCGGGACGCGGGGTGAACGCGTGCAGGTCGAGGCGCGGGTGGAAGTTCGCAACCTGTCGCCGGGAGAACGTATAGCTCTCTCTGGTCGTCCGGGAGGCTCTGATCAACGCTGGCCGTCTGTTCTCGGCCCGAAGGCCTCCGTAGCTTGTCGGCGAGCCGCTCTATAGGAACGACAGCAACGCATCCATCGCGTCGACGCCGACGTTGCGATGCTGCCGCAGCCAGTCGCAGTAGCAGCAGCAGCAGCCGCGGCGCGAGGCTCTGGAATGGAATTGGACTGAGGGTGGCGTACGAGTTCAGTTAATTAAATCCGAATTCCGCCGACTTATTTGGCCGAAGAGCAGCGCACGCCCGCACAGCAGAGCCGAGCCTAGCGGGGCATCTATCTCGATAATGCATCTCTGACCCGAGCGAAGCCCGCCAAGCGAGACTATCGCGGTCGCACAATGCTAGAATCTCCGCTGTTCCCTGTGGTCTTCCGAATCGTCATTCTTCTCGCATCGACCGCTTGTCCCAGGAATCGTGAATTCAATCGGTGTTTTAATCGATTTGCCCCCGGGATCCCTGGGAGGCGCCTCTCCTGATTCCAGGGAAAGCGAGGGGAGGACCTGCTCAAAGCACCAGCAACAGATTTCCGGAGTTCCAAGACTTTCCCCGGTAGAAATCAAGTTCTCGCCGTCACGGCTGTAGCTGCTCTGATTGAGATCTGGGATTATCCTCCAAGGAATAGTCGAGAGCCCGATATTCTGCGAAAAAATGATCCGTTGGGAGTCCAGGCTTCAGAGGGAAGGAAACAGACTCTGCCGAAGGGAATCAAGGCGCCTCAGCGCTAAGAGGAGGCAGGTTGCATCTCAATATCACGTCATGCCTCAGTGTTGACCCTTCAAGAAATTGAAGCTTGTGACGACATTTGCCCCGAGGCTTCCTCTGGAGACGTGGAGTCAGTGCGTTGACAGGCTTGATCTTCCATTACTTAGAAGCTCCCGGGCACTCCGGCGTTCCTACTCCTCAAAGCTTCGAGGACTTCATGAAGACTGCCCTCTCGAATATCCGTTCAATTAGAGGTCCGATGTTTCGCTGTACCGCAGCTCTATCGATGCTTTCGTCAAGTCGACCTCTCTCTATCCCGGCCCTCATCGGAAGAAAACCTTCAAGTTATTGAACACCGACATGAGGATCGGAGCTGTGAGGACATTTTTTATCGCTCAATGTTCCGCAGATGTTTTGATGCAAGTCGACGTGGCCGAAAGTCGGTATGAAGCCGCAGCGAAACCGATCTAAAGAGTTAATGTCACTGCGTTCTGGATCGTGTATGTCGCTCCCGCGAGGCGGAGACTGGGGCGGCGAGCGAATGACTGCTCACGTCTCCGGATTTGGAGCCGCATGCAGGAAGCCCAGAAGCCGTGACCGCGATTGCAAATGTATTGCAAGTTGGGTGGACTCGACAGTGCACCGAAGGTGACCTGGAATCCGCTCGGTCGACATTGCAGCAATCTGCAACCGACTCTGAAATCGCTCTGAGCCATTGCGCTCTACAGCGCATATTATATGCCGCTACACTCTACAGCTGCCAAAATGCACCTACGACCTGTCCAGAATATTCTCTCGAACATCGTTAGACGACCCTGCATTCCTATAGTGTCCCCGCAGAGACTGAATGATCATTAGCGCCAGGGATTAGAGGCAAGTTGCCGTGAATAGCTGGGAATGCCTATTCCGAGTGTTTTTCGTGACAATTCGCCTATTCCTGACCTTCATCGAGCATTCTACGAATTTCGTTAGTTTTAAGGATCGCAGGCACTTGTTTGAAATCCCTTAATCCTCGAAATCGAGCGAAGTCAACGAGATCACATACTTCGCAATCCTCCTCTCAGCCGTAGACGGATTAGAGTGTTCTCAGCATCTACTAACATCGAAGTATTTGGAAATGTGCGGGAAAGCTTCTGAGGTTTCGGAGGTTTCGGAGCACAAACTGGAGATCTCATCGAGCTCGAGCTGAAGTGACTTCATGACCAAAATCTTGGCTCTTAGTCCAGAGCCCCTCGTTCGGTCACCATCTGAATCCCCCCTTATGGTCGGTTCAGATGTTCTGGGGTCAATCCGCCTGCCCATTTCCGAATCTCTCAGTGCCCAAGACCCCTGGCTCTAATTATCGTCATGATCTGCTTGCATCCGCAGGAGGTTTGTTATGACAAGAGGTCGTCGACAATGGTTGACAATGACTTGACCATAATTTATTATCAAGACTGAAGAGAGCAGTGAATCGTCTACTCTCTAACCTAAGCTTGCTTCGACCTTCCCCGGCGTCCCGAAGAAAGTTGGAGATAGCATGATTCAGCCGCTCAATCGAAAAATTCGAGGTCAGCCCTAATCTTTATCGTGGATGAGTCTCAAAAAGTTCGAGATTATCCGATTCGGTTTTTCTGGGTTTGGAGGCGTTCCAGAAAATAAAATCTTCTCAACCCATAACACTATTCATGGCTCGTAGATTCGAAGAGTATACGGTCATATACTCGTCGGGCTAGGGCATTCTACGCCAACGCGACGGGATCCCGTGGCACTTGGATTCGCTTTGCAATAGAGAGCCTATGGGAATCGAAAAAACTCGCGAATTCCCGAAGGAAAGAACCCGCGATGAATGTCCGGCCTTATTTATGAGTCTTGGGCGCTTGTGGTGAATGTGACAGTGATTTAGTTCAACGGGGCAGTCTGGTGTAATGTACAGGGAAGTGTCGGCACTGAGTCGCGAGCGCATCTGCCTTCTGGAACTCGACTCCCTCATGTCTTCGTTTTGATCACGAAGAAAGCTGTGCCGGCTGCGACCCCGACAATGATGACGGCGACGAAGATCCAAATCGGTACGGCTGGAAGGAAATTATGTTTTGATGCTCTATTGACTCGGAATACCTCCTAAGCCGCCTGGCGCGTTCCAGGGGCGTCAAATTGACAGTTTGACATCAATCGATTCGAGGGCGAAATTATTGTAAAATCTCCCAATATTGCTTGCTAGAATTCCAGCCTCTTTTCCCACATGGAATTCAAATCAAGGAACGGTCGGAGCTCCTGCTTGTAGACGCATGGATATCGATTGTTGGGCTATCAGCTGAGAGACTGCACTTTACAGTTCGAAGTTCTTGCTCACATGAGGGTGTGGAGACCATGACCGCTGCGGGTTCTGAGTAGAAACTTTCCTTAGATCCATCGATGTTCACAGCTGTGAGCTCGACGGTATACGAGATCCCTGATCGAAGATGGTCGAAAGCCGAAGTCAGAGTCTCGTTTGAAACGGTGATGTTGCCGATGAGCTTCTCGTCCGCGATCAACTTGACTTCGTAATCTACGGATTGGTGGACAAGGTCTGAGTGAACATCGCAGAGGATCCGAAGCCCAAGGAGAACGCGTAATATCCGCTTAGAGGCTGGGTGTTGCCCTTTGGGCACAAAAATTGTCGTGAGCGCCAGGAATACTCAAGAAAGGAACAACTCACGATCCACATTCGGGGCACCCATGTCGACCGGAGGCTCCCATCGGACCTCGATACGACTCTCGTTGACGAATGTAATTTCCAGGTCTTTTGGCACGCTCGGAGCTGTGAAAATGTGCAATGAATAGTCTGCATCCCTCGACGCTCTTTAGTCATGTCGGATCAAAGCACGGTCTGAATTGAACTTTCCGCCATCCTCTTGCTCCCCTCGACTCCCGGCTCCGTACCTCCGATCAGAGTCTTGAAGGTGATCTGGGTTGGCATCCCGCACTGCTCGGGCAAGTTGTTCTCGCATCTTTGCAAGGAACCGAAATACTCTTCGAAGGCTTTAAGATCTGATCCATAGTACAGAGTTCCAGCCTGGGTCTCGAATATTGAAGATTTGTTCAATCGACCTGTCTGACTTATGAGAACGAGCCTCAACCGTTTCCCTGAGTATTCATTCTGGGGTTCTTTCAGGTTGAATTTTACAGAGTTATTCGTAGGGGAGATCTTCACCACTTCCGGTGGAGGGAGAGCTGCAAACGATGGGCAAGTTAGAGAGCCCTCCTTCACTGGAATCGATTGAGGGCGATCCGAACGATCTGGAACTCACAGATACTGTCACCGATCTTAGGGACGACGATGGAAGCGCTCAAAATTTCTTCGCTGGTCTTGTTTCCACCGCTTCCCTCTTGGGCGGAGACTGTGAGCGTGTACCTGCCTCAGGGGGAAAAAATTATGAAATTACCTGGACGACTCCGCATTCATCGTGGATATACTTTCGATGAGAACGAATATTGCACTCTCGGTTCACCCAAGCACTCACAGTGTGTCCGTTTCGTTGTACGGCAGTAGGCACTCTTTCTCTCCAGGTGAGATCATCCGTTCAATCACGGATTGTTGACAACTGCGAGCGGTTGTACTGAGGGCCAGGCTATATTGCTTGGACGATGTCCGATCCAGGGGCATTTGCCATGCTGCCTTGAGCTGAGATGAAGAAATCACAGAAAGTTCCAAAGCTCTCTCACTCGACGGACCTGAAAGAAGCAAGATGGTCGCGAAGTCACCTTCGGGGACCGCACCGCCGAATCGAAGCTCCGACCCTCTTGCGGAAGAATTTCAAAATCGCCCCATAGAGGAAACACACCAAACAGTTGTGTCAAAGCGAACACAGTCGAGAAAGTCTTGAACCACATCTTGGGCTCCACCGTAGAGAACTCGATCGGTTAGCTTGTTCTTTGAAAACAACCACAGCAACGCAATCATCCGCCACAATACTCCACTGTAGCCGTGTCGGCTTATGAGTCGATATTGAGCCAAACAAAAAGCTTTTAATCCGTCGACCGCCCCTATTGAGCTCATCATCATATTCGGTTGAGCGGATGAATGAGAGGAAGTCCCTCTCTTTTCTAAGGAGCTCAATCCTTGAATTCTCTCGATCCGCTGTGAGAGCGGTATTGACGAGGTCTCGTCATCGAAAAAAGAGTTCTGATGACGTAGCTCTCCGTTCAAATTCGGGATCGGAAATCTTTTCACTGGAATGTTTCCACAAACGTGGCCCTCTGAATTCAAGCACCAGGAGATGGCGGACACTGAATCTAGATTCCTTCCACGAGCGGCCTGTCATGCGAGAGGAATCCCACTATTCCCGTCATCGAAGGTACATACAATCCTTCAATTTATAGAGGCTAATCGAGGTAGATCAAATCTTTATGGAGGCTGAGAATACAAGTGGGAGAGGAATACCGAAGGAGGCGAACACCAGTTTAGCACTGACAGAAAAGAGCGACAAATAAGATTTGCATCAAGCTCACTGGAGCCAGTTGCATCGAATAAGATGGTGGCCGTGGCTAGTGAACCGTCTCCCAGAGGTTGGATCAATACAGTTCTGATACCTCGTGGCTTCGTTCGCTCAGTCTACTCGAGATCGAGAAAAAAAACATGGGTTTTCGTTCGACGACGTTCGAGGGTATCGGAGGCTCCCGGTTTCCGCAAGGTTAGGCTGAATCAGAATCCGAATGGCTTCATCGATACCCGATCGCATTGAACGTAGGTACAATATGGTTTTATAAGGGCGAAATCATTCACAACTTACTTCTGCTTCTCTCCCGGGAGTAAATTTTTCCTTGAATAACTTTTCAGACCCCGCGGATCTGGTGGACGCGGGTGAAGTGCCCCAGACAGCAGGTCGTTGATAGATGAAACTCCGCTAGGAGATTGAGAGCGTCACCGGGGTAGTCCTCGATTCTTCGGTGATACGGTCGAGAAAACATATGAGACGGTCAGTTTGGGTCGATGTCTCCCTGCGCGGCCTGTTTGAGGACTGTCAGCTCCTCCATCGAGAGAATGCCATATTTGTCGTACAAACCTGTGGCGGATGCATCATGAAGGAGGCCCAGCACCGTAAGAAGCGTACCGTTCTGAAGTACGCAGACGTGCTGTGCAGAGGAGGAATCAGCTGAGTTGGTAAGGCACATAGCCGCAGAGTAAGTCGTTCATTGATCGTGCATTGAATGAATGTGTCTCCAAAATCCTTTTTCCACAATTCAATTCGCAGGCCAAATCCGTTCCACGGAGCGATACGCTAGATATTCGAGACAAGCTCCTGTGGCGTTTTATATATGACGGATATGGCTGCGTTAGTCAGTATCATCGCGGCTGAGATCGATATCGGTCTCCTCTGGAAAACTGAAAGTGCAATGGAACGTGTGACAAGGACATATCTTTTTTTTCGCATGACGAGCTTTCAGCATCTGGAAACCTCATGATCAAGAGCGGCCGTCGCAAGCTCCTCAGGAAGTCGCCTATCGTGCCTCGTGGGCCTCTTCTCGTCTGCTGCGCATCCGATCTCTGCTTCCGTCAAGAGCCTGGCCTCTATCAGACGAACTTCTCGTCGAATTAGTACGAAGTCCTCGGGCACATCGTGACATCGCGCTTGAGGTCCCCTCCGCCCGGGCGAAATTGAATCGTGACGTAACTCTTCCGTCATTGTGGTGTCGATTTGACGTAAGTGTGAGGTTTATGTCTGATCTCTGTATACAGTCACCTTGACACACGTACTCCCTCCAAGCTCTGCGCAGGGGTTCCTACCTAAGGTGCGACAGCGGACCCACTCGACCAGAGGCTTTAAAGAGCTTCAGGGGATCGACGAATGCCCCTCGGAGATTTTTGACAATGCGACGCATCGTCCATTGAGTTCAATGGCCATGAATTCATTCCGCTTGATATCCCGGATGACTCCAGTGAACTATACAATGCTCCACGGTATCGCGGGTTATCCTAGAGCATGAGTGCGTCTCTCGATAATCGCGCCATCGACAGTCACACCTCTTCGACTCTCGATAACACAGCTCGACAAAAAAAAACTTTTTTCGCGTTACAAAGTAAGTGATAGCTATTTCGGGGTAAACCGGGGGCGCTGAATCCGAATTTCGTAAAAGATTTTCTCCATCAGGTCTAGTTTTTCCGAAATTTCAATTTTTCGATTTTTTGCCATTTTTCGTCTTCAAAAAATTCTAGCTCCGCCCCTGAGTGGACTAGATCGATGAAAGGTGGCGGATAGACCTCGGTTGGGGCTATACCTGACCGAGTTTTGGTGCGATTCGTAGCAGTGGTCTCTGAGCTAGAGCCATCGGAAACTAAAAAAAAGAAGAAAAAAGTGGGAGAGGGACCTCTTAGAAAGCACTTGACGGAAAAACTAGGACCTTTGGAGCGGTCTGACCTCGACAATTCGATAGAGGAGGCTTTTGCGAGCATTTTGAGACCAAGCAGAGCAAAATCGGTCGATCCGTTCAGTTTTTATTCGCAAAAACATTGAAAAGGGTCTCGCAGGAAATGTGCCCCTCTTTGGAAATCGCTTCGGCGACCAACTTCAGAGAGCTGTATCTCCGGAACGGTTCGTCGTAGAGCGACGAGCAAAGGCGCGTTGGAAAGCTGAGTCTGAGAGCTTTGATTTGCGCTAGTCAGATCGGAAAAAGGATCAGTTGGGACGGAGACATATGACGATTTTCACAGATCGAAAACTATATCGACGATTTCGCTGATTTTTCTTCTGCGGACTGTTTTCCGCGAAAAAAGACTATGTGCGAAGTTTCAGAGTGGCTGCTCAACTGTAAGTATGTTTAAGTACCCGAAAACCCTTTTTTCATTGAATAAGCCCAATTGGATTCTACCACCATTCAGCTCGCGGAGGTCTCCATCTAGAGAATGGTACCTCCAACGGAGGTACCATTGGTCGTACGGAGCCGAAGAAAGCCGCTGTGTAGCCGATGAATCACCGCAATGATGTAATCACATGAGCATGGGTAGACCGCGGACTCGGGCTCAGCGATTCGTCCCAGCATCGGACCCTAGCACGAT